GTGAAGAGAGAGGAGGCAACACGAAAAGAGGGAGAGTAGTTAGTGAGCGAGTGAGCGAGCGAGCTAACAGGTGAATGGGTAGGTGAGTGTGTGAGTGAGCAAGTGAACGAGTGAGTGAGGGAGCGAGTGAGTTAGCGAGCAAACGAGTGAGGGAGCGCATGAGTGAGCGCGTAAGACCATGAGCGAGTGGGTGAGTAAGCGAACAGGTGAATGAGTGGGTGAATGAGCGAGCAGGTGAATGAGTGGGTGGGTAGTTTAGTGAGTGAGTGGGTGAATGAGCGAGTGGGTGAGTGAGCTAGCAACAGACCCACCCACCGGTAGTCAAACTAGAGCTGGGGTGTGGTGGCGATGGAGCAAGTGAATGGGTAAATGATTGAGCAGGTGAGTAACACATCCACCCACCGGTAATCAAACTGGAGCTGGGGCATGCTGGCGACCGCCCGGTCTACTTTTTCTCTCATCGCCGACTCCTCCGCGGCCAGCTCCTTCATCTTCTTCTGCAGCATCTCCAGCTGGCCCTCTACATCCGGACACCGCCTGTTAGCCTCCCTACCATCTCCATGATAACAGTTACACACAGCTGCCCCTCTACAGCTGGACACCGCCTGTTATGTTAACTACCTCGCCTGGTGTACAGGAAGTCGTGGGTTCAATCCCAAACCTGACACCTGCTGTATATTTGGAGTTTGCACGTTTCTCTCCCCGTGGTCGCGTGGATTTTTCTCCGAGACCTCCAGTTTTTTCCATTCAACATTTAGAATCAACATCACCCTTTAGAGTATTGGATGCTATAAATTTCCACGTGATAAGCCACTTCGTTGAGCTATCATTTTTGATAGCCAAGTCGATTCTGAAAAGAGCTACATAGCTCAGTGGGGCCTTACCTGGTAAAATAAATATAGTTTAGTTTATAGTGTAGTTAAGCTTCGCCTCTCCAATGTCTCCATGGTAACAGCCACACACAGCTGCTCCAGTGGCGATATTTACTGCACACTGCACCAAGTACTCATTTTAGGCCGAGTTGAGCCTTGGGGAGGAGGCCCAGGACCGATTGTTCAGATAATTGCTGCCGTTACCATTACCACTTGTGGTGGTGGCCGTGAGCGGGAATCGAACTTGGGTTTCCTGCTGAGTTCATAGTCGCGCAGCATGCTAACCACTAACCACCGTTTCCCACTCGCATAATAACACACAGAGATTCTAGATTTGAAGCTTTCGTGACTGCAAGGATTCATACCCTTTGGTTTTTTCGGTAAAGTCACGTAGGTAAAAAATTTAATTAAATAAATGAACACAACTAAATGAAATCACGACGTTTCGGGCGCAACACAAGAGTCCGAAAAAACCAAAGAGTAACACACAGAGACTCAAAGACAAAGCTCCCCCATATAGCCTCAACAGTGTTGGGGCAAGTGCTGCTAAGGTCTGCGTGGTACACGAGGGGGTGGGTGGCCAGCACCACACCAGACCTCCCGTTTCCCTCGATGGTGACATTCACAGATACTCAATTAAGGCCGAGTCAACTTAGGGGAGGTCAATGAGGGATCACATAATTGTCACTGGTGTTGGCCGTGAGCGGGAATCAAACTCGGGTTGCCGGGTTCGTAGTAGCGCAGCACGTTGACCCCTCCACGTCGCCCCTCTCCACCCCCCACCCAGAGTCGCTCCTCTCCCTTCCCCTCCCTCCGTTACTCTCTCCTGCACGCTCTCCCCTTTCTCCTCCACCCCCCGTGTTACCCGTGTAGCCCAGGGCGGCCATGTCCCTGAGTAGGCCCTGGGCTCGGGTCTTCAAGCGAGACAGAGCCTGCTGGTCGCGAGTGTAGGCTTCCGTGGTGCGGCCCTCCTCCGCCTTGCGCTGCTGCAGCTCGCGCTGCACGTGGGACAGCTTCATCTGAGCCTGGGGGGCACGGGGTGGGGCGGGTTGTCGAGTGGGTACTCCAGGACGGCGAATGAGAACGGGTGGGTGAATGCACGAGTTAGTAGGCCCAGAGGCCTCCTCCCTTGCCTGCGCAGCTTCAGTCTGGGCCTGGCTGGCCTCCTGGCGGCACTTCAGGATCTGCTCGGCCAGCGTGGCGGCGTGGCCGCCTTGCCCATCCTCCGAGAGGCCCACCGAGGCCGCCGCGAAGCGCGCCTGAGCTTCTTGCAGGCCCCTCGCCGCTTCCTGGGAGCATGCCAACGCCGACGCCAGCGCCGCCTCCAGCGCCACTACCTGGGAGCGCTTGGCGTCGCGGGCACTGGCGTCCTGGGGGCAGAGAAGGGGCGAGAGAGGGGGAGACACTGTGAGCGAGACACGACCTGCGAGCCCGGAGGTGAAGTTCACCTCGTCGAGAGCAGCGTTTCTCAAACAGCTTTTGGCCTGCGGACCACTCAGCAGAACATTTCCACAGACCACCCAAGCCCCATACACCTGGTCACAAAACACTTATCTCTCTAAATATCAGTAATACGATGATTCATATTATCTGAACATAACAATACTTGTTTTAAACGCAGCAATAAGGTTTTTTTAGGGGGGGCGGTATTTAGATGTTGGGGTAGTTTAATCGCGGTAGTTTACCTAAATTATTTTTTTTATTGAATATCACAAGTAAAACATGAATTGACGTTTGAAACTAAAGATTGGATGAGATGTGGCCTGCAGAGAGAGACATGGTGAGAGAGAGGTGAGTTAGGGAGGTGACCGAGGTCGGCGAGGAGGTACCTCCTGCATGTGAGCGAGCAGCTGCTCCCTGTGCGCCTGCTCCGTAGCCAGGGCCTCTGTGCGGATGTCCAGGGTGCTCTGGGCCTTGGCGTGGGCACGCTGGGCCTGGGTCAGGGCCTCCTCCACACGGGACAGATCCCCTCCGGCCTCCTGTACACCATCATCAACATCACCACCACCATCATCATAACCATCAATATCATCATCACCACGACTGGGCCTGGTTCAGGGCCTTGGCATGAGCACACTCTGGACCTTGGCGTGGGCACACTGCGCAAAGAGTCAGGGCCTCCTCCACACAGGACAGATCCCCTCCTGCCTCCTACACACCATCAACATCACCATCATCAACATTATTAACATCACCTCCCTCCCCCTCTCCTTCCCTCACCCACACTCACCATGTTCCTCTCCATCTCCCACAGCTCTCCCTCCCTCCCTACCTCTCTCTCCCCCTCTTCCTCTTCCCCCCAACTCATCCTCACCTTGTCCCTTTTCCTCTCCATCTCCCGCAGCTCTCCCTCCCTCTTCTTCTCCTCCTCCTCCAGCCTCTCTACCTCCTCTCGCGCCTCCTGCTCATCAGTACGCAGCTTCTGGAGGTGCAGAGCGGCGTTTTCCTGGCCCTGGCTCGCCGTGAAGAACTGGTGAGCGATCACCAGGCGCCGGAGAGAATCCAGCTCCCGGCACAGCTTGCTGTATTCCAGGTAGGAGGTGCGCTCCTGGGGATGAAGCGGGAGGGGAGAGTGGTGAGTGTGTGGCGAGTGGGTGGCGAGTGAGTTGCCAGTGTTAAGCAAGTGTCGGTGCCTCACCTGTTTGAGTTTTTCCAGCGTTGGAGAAATTTCCTCCTCCAGAACCTGGAAAAATGGAGACAGGGGTCATGAGATCATAGGGGTCACTCGTGGCAAGTGGATCATAGTAAGTGTAGGTGGTGAGCATAGGTGGTGAGCGTAGGTGGTGAGCGTAGGTGGTGAGCGTAGGTGGTGAGCGTAGGTGGTGAGCGAGAGGTCCCCTCACGTCGTTGATCTCCTTAAGTTTGGCCTCCTTCTTCTCGATAGTCTTCTGCGCTGCCAGTTTCTTGCTCTCATACATCCTGGTCCCCGCAGCCTCCTCAATCATCGCCAGGATCTGGGGTGAGGTGAGGGGCAGAGGTGAGGAGGAGAGACGAGGAGGGGTGGGGACGAGGAGACAGAATAGAGAGACGAGGAGAGACATGGGGAGAGGTGAGGAGATGTTGGGGAGAGGTGAGGAGAGGTGAGGAGCAGAGATATGGGTCCCTACAGCCTCCTCAATCATCGCTAGGATCTGGGGTGAGGTGAAGGGGGGTGAGGGGGGTTGAGGAAAGGAAGGGACGCTGAGGAAAAAAGAGACACTGAGAGATGTGGGGAAAGGTGAGGAGTTGTGGGAAGAGTTGCGGAGACGAGAGGTAAGGAGCAGAGGTGAGGAGAAGAGCTACGAGTCCCTGCAGTCTCTCAATCGTTGCCAGGATCTGGAGAGGTGAGGAGATGAGGGTGAGCAGTGGTGAGGGGTGGACACGATGAGTGGGTGAATGGTGGAAAGGGCGAGTGGTGGCAAGGGCAAATGCCTCACCTCAGGAGGCTTCATGTTCAAAACCTTGGTGATGCGACCCTGCAAAACAAGAAAGCACTCACTCACCACCCACTCACCACTCATCTCCTTCATGAGCAAAAGATAATAGTCTAACCTGCACGATGATGCTGATGATATTGATGATGTAGAGGTGGTACCTACATTATGAGGAAGTGGGGGTTGTTGACGTTGATGGTGGTGATGATGATGATGATGTTGAAGAGGTATCTGCATGAGAAAGTGAGGGTTGTTGACATTGATGGTGATGATGGTGGTGATGACGGTGGTGATGATGGTGGTAATGGTGGTGTTAGTGGTGATGTTGAGGAGGTACCTGCATGATGAGGAAGTGGGGGTTGTTGACGTTGAGGCCCACAGAGCGGAAGAGGTCCTGCACACGCGCCGTGGTGGCGTTCACCCCGTTGATCAGATACTTATTCCTGCCGCCAATCACCACCTGAACAGAGGAGACACGCAGAGACACAGAGGCACACAAGAGACACTGATCAGATACTTGTTCCTGCCGCAAATCACCACCTGCACAGAGGAGGCAGGCAGAGCAGACACATGCAGAGACACTAAGACTCCAATCACCACCTGCACAGAAAAGACACTCAGACAAAGACTCAGAGAGACACAAGGGGACACTGAGACACACCCACCCACACGTACATATATATGCGCACACACAAATACACAGATACATTTAAAGCGCTGCGTCCCTGTCTGGTGACCGGGATCTCCGCGTGGTCCTCTCTCTCCGGGTGAATTAGTGAGTGAGAGTGAGTGGGTGAGTGAGTGGGTGAGTTAGTGGGCGAGTGAGTGGGTGAGTGAGCGAGTGGGTGAGTGAGCGGGTGAGTGAGCGAGTGGATGAGTAGAGGCAAGGGTGTGCGTGTCTGTCTGGTGACGGTGATTTCCGCATGGCCTTCGAACCCCAGGGGGCTCTGTTTCCGGTCACGGTTGTCGAATGTAATGGAGACGGTTGCCTTTGTAACGCCAGCCTGGCCGTTCTTGTAGACCAGCTCCTGCAGACTTGCTGCTCTCACCTACAGAGAGAGGGGCAGTGACAGAGGGGGAGGAAGAGACACAGAGAGACAGGGAGACAAGGAGACAGAGAGAGAGGCACAGAGAGAAAGAGAATGCTCAAAGATTACACCTGTAAATTAATTTCAAAAGAAAATTCATGCATTCTGATAATGTTAATAATGAAAGTCAGTTTGAAAATGTGTTCAAATATACGAATTAACCCAATGTGTCCTGAATTTAGGGCCACCCCGTACAGGCACGTCTCGCTTAAAGAGTGTTCTTTCTACAACAATTCGCTACAACGAGCAAATCAGACCCATTTGTAAGCAAAACAAGCTAAATGTTCGCTTATCGAGCGGAGACCAATTGAATTTGGGCCACCATGTATAATCATAACCCTATGTGTCCTGACTTTTGGGCTACCCTATGTGTCATGACTTTTGGGCCACCCTGTGTAATAACCCTGTATCCTGACTTTTGGGCCACCCTGGAAAATAATAACCCAATGTGCATTGACTTTTGGGCTACACTGTACAATAATAATAACCCAATGTGTACTGACTTTGGGCTACACTGTACAATAATAATAACCCAATGTGTACTGACTTTGGGCTACACTATACAATAATAATAACCCAATGTGTACTGACTTTTGGGCTACACTGTACAATAATAATGTAGTGACATAAGAAAGGAGGGGCTGCTGGGGGCTCTGGGACCCTGGGCGGCCCAGGCGCTTGGGCCACCAACGGGGGGGGCTGTGTGTGCCCTGTGGGATATCTGGGGGTGCACACGGCCCCATCCCTCGTTGGGGACTAGGCATAAAAGGGGAGCTCCCTGGACGATCAGGGCCAGTTGTAGCTCAAGACCCAAGACCCAAGACAGCCATCTGAGAACCCTGGGACGCTGTGAGGGCCAGTGGTGGGACTCTGGAACTCCCGACTCTACGACCTTGTGAGGGCGAGTTCCAGAGCGTAGCCAGAGTAGAGTATCTAGGCTGTGTACCTAGGCTGTGTACCTAGGCTGGAACAGAGTATCAGGACTGTTGGAGAGTTGGAGAGTTGGAATGTTGGAGTGTTGGAGTGTTGGATTGTAATAAAGAAGTTACCTCTACAAGTGTCTCCGGAACCCATTACAATAATAACCCAATATGTACTGACTTTTGGGCTACACTGTACAATAATAACCTAATGTGAGGCCACCCTGTACAATAATAATAATCTAATGTGACCTGACTTTGGGCTACACTGTATAATAATGTCCTGACGTTTGGGTCACCCTCACACTCGCTCTCATTTACAGGTACCTAGCTTGGTTCACTAACTCCCTCACCATACATTTCTATTGAGTACATTGATTATATTGATATTTAGTTTTTTCACATCGGCTTATTGTATGGTAGTAGTGGTAATTGCAGTTATTTAGCGTCAATATGCTAAATTCCTCTGTTGACATGTATACTCAGCTTATTAGAGAGTATATTGATTATATTGATGTAGTTTATATTTTAGTTTTTTATCGGTTCACTATATGGTATTCATTATATAGTGTAGTGTATACCCAGTTACTTAGCTCAGCTTATTGGAAAGTATATTGAGTACATTGATTATATTGATGTAGTTTATATTTAGGGTTTGTTTTCACATCGGTTTATTGTATGATAGTTATGGTATTTATAGTTCTTTAGAAACTCCTTTCTTTTTTTTCCACGTAATGCACTAACTTGATACGCGGTGGTTTGGCTGCCGCAGTTTTTTATTATTAAAATTTACCTACCTTTATTACTGCCAATCCTACATAACACACGAGCATAATGACTTTGAGACCCCCCACCGCCTACACATTCCGCAAGGAGTGACTAACCCCATATCTGCATGTCATCAATATGCTAAATTCCTCTGTTGATATGTAAACTCCTTTGTCAAGGCGCTCTCCTCCTCCCACCCAGCTTAAAATACGCTGCCAAGCTTAGCAGTGTTCATTAAGACGCTGTCTTTTCGACAGCTCTGATTCTTCACCTGCTTGCGTTGTGGCCAAAACGTCGTGAGAATTTTATGTTTTATTTTATTTCCCTTCTACGTGACTTTACCGAAAGAACCAGGAATATGAATCCCTCACCATAGTGCCAGGCGAGGTTCGCACACACACTCTCACGATCAATCTAACCCAAAACCTTTCGATCCAACGCAAAAAAACATGTATTATTGATATTGGTCGCGAAATTCTACGTGTTAAACGGTACAAGGCTAATTCTAGATTTGAAGCTTTCGTGACCGCAAGAATTCATATTCTTAGGTTTTTTCGGTAAAGTCACGTAGGTAAAACATCAAAATTAATAAAAATAAAATAAAGATCACGACGTTTCGGAGGCAACACAAGTCTCCGTCATCAGGTGGGACCGTCACAGCCAGATTAGCTGCATCAAGGCTAAGTCCACACACACTCTCTGACTGATGCTCGGCTAGGTTCACACACACACACTCTCTGACTGATGCTAGGCTAGGTTCACACACACACTCTCTGACTGATGCTAGGCTAGGTTCACACACACACACTCTCTGACTGATGCTCGGCTAGGTTCACACACACACTCTCTGACTGATGCTAGGCTAGGTTCACACACACACACTCTCTTGACTGATGCTAGGCTAGGTTCACACACACACACTCTCTGACTGATGCTAGGCTAGGTTCACACACACACACTCTCTGACTGATGCTAGGCTAGGTTCACACACACACTCTCTGACTGATGCTAGGCTAGGTTCACACACACACACTCTCTGACTGATGCTAGGCTAGGTTCACACACACACGCTCTCTGACTGATGCTAGGCTAGGTTCACACACACACACTCTCTGACTGATGCTAGGCTAGGCTCACACACACACACTCTCTGACTGATGCTCGGCTAGGTTCACACACACACACTCTCTGACTGATGCTAGGCTAGGTTCACACACACACACTCTCTGACTGATGCTAGGCGAGGTTCACACACACACACTCTGACTGATGCTAGGCGAGGTTCACACACACACACTCTCTGACTGATGCTAGGCGAGGTTCACACACACACACTCTCTGACTGATGCTAGGCTAGGTTCACACACACACACTCTCTGACTGATGCTAGGCTAGGTTCACACACACACACTCTCTTGACTGATGCTAGGCTAGGTTCACACACACACACTCTCTGACTGATGCTAGGCTAGGTTCACACACACACACTCTCTGACTGATGCTAGGCGAGGTTCACACACACACTCTCTGACTGATGCTAGGCTAGGTTCACACACACACACTCTCTGACTGATGCTAGGCTAGGTTCACACACACACGCTCTCTGACTGATGCTAGGCGAGGTTCACACACACACACTCTCTGACTGATGCTAGGCTAGGCTCACACACACACACTCTCTGACTGATGCTAGGCTAGGTTCACACACACACACTCTCTGACTGATGCTAGGCGAGGTTCACACACACACACTCTGACTGATGCTAGGCGAGGTTCACACACACACACTCTCTGACTGATGCTAGGCGAGGTTCACACACACACACTCTCTGACTGATGCTAGGCTAGGTTCACACACACACACTCTCTGACTGATGCTAGGCTAGGTTCACACACACACACTCTCTGACTGATGCTAGGCTAGGTTCACACACACACACTCTCTGACTGATGCTAGGCTAGGTTCACACACACACACTCTCTGACTGATGCTAGGCTAGGTTCACACACACACTCTCTGACTGATGCTAGGCTAGGTTCACACACACACACTCTCCCACTCTCCTCACTCTCGTTCTCACTGGTGCCAGGTTAGGTTCACTTGAGACAAGTTGAAGATGCCCAGCACAAAGCACACACTCTCCCTCACACTAGTGCCAGGCTAGGTGCACACTGTCTCTCTCGTGTCAGGCCAGGTTCACACACAATCAAGTACTTCTCGCAATTTCTCCCTCACCCTGGTGCCAGGCTAGGTTCACGTACACACTCCCGCTCTGCTCATTCTCTTGCTCTCTCACCCGCCATTCTCACACTCTCCCTCTCATTGGTACCAGGCTAGGTGCACACACCACTCACACTCTCTGGGGCCAGGCTAGGTTCGCCTGATACAGGTTTAAGATGCTCAGCACGAAGCACGCCCTCTCCCTCACACTGCACCAGGCTCGGTTAACACACAGAGACAAAGATCCCCCGTATAGCCTGAAGAAACTGTAGGGGCAAGTGCTGTTAGCGAGTAGCACCTATGAAGGCCGGCACTGTGGCACACGAGCGGGTGGGCGGCCAGCACCACGCCCGGCCGCCTTTGTCTCCCCAGTGCTGGCGATGTTTACACACCGCACCGTGGACTCGCAGAGACACCGTCTGACACTCTACCGCTATCCTCACACACGCACTTTCTTCACGCACGCTCTCCTACTGGTACCGGGCAAGGTTCACACAAACACACATTCCCTGGTGCCAGACTAGGTTCACCTGAGACAGGTTGGAGATGCCGAGCACGAAGCAAACGGCGTCCAGGATGTTGGATTTGCCGCTGCCATTGAGCCCCGTGATGGCGTTGAACAGCGGATCCCAGTCGCAGATCTCTGTGCGTTGGGCGTACGACTTGAAGCCGTCCAGCACGATCGCCTTGATGTACATTGTCCCCTTGTTTGTTTATTCGGTTATCGGTTCTTAAAACTTTATCGGGTTTCGCGATTCCCCCTCAGACCGCGAGCGAGCGGTGGGTGGGCAACGCTTTCCCGCCCTTTTTGAAGACGTGACGTCACTTCCGGCTTCTTCGAATCTCGGGCGGAAGTTATCTTTTATATTCTAAAATATTAAGTTTAAATGTTATTTATTTGGTTTGTGACGGGCTGGTTAAAGTTTGTTGGATAATAGTGTCATGGATTGCCTTCGCACAGATAAATAAATCATTTTTGGAATTTCGAGGACAGCGAATTGCGATCCTGTATTGCATCAGCATTGCGGACGTCATTTGCACGAGTAACGGAAGCGGCTGAGTTCTATAAAAGGTTAATAATATTTGCTTATTTTTGTAATGAACATAGATCTCTTACGGTTCTGCTCAACGATTATTAACTGTTATCAATACCACAAAACATTTAACATGCGTCGGTGTAAAGAAGTATCTTTATAAATAATTAAAGTTGGCGTCATTGGCTGGGTTACCGTTGACCTTTGTAACTGGGGTTACTTTTTGTATAAAAATATAAAACAAAAATTGAAGCGGGTGGTTCCATTAACTATGATTTTAAATGTGTCATTTGCCAACCATATAAAGAATAAACAAGTATAACCCGTAAAAACAAAGTTTTTCACTCTAAATCCTTTATATGCGTGGCGGCTAGAGTCCTCTCGTCCTCTGGCTTGAGATGGCTGCCACCTATGGGTCAGATGATTGCATAACACCATTAAGCAATTGGTAATTAAATATTTAATTTGTTTTCCCTAAAAAGTGTAAAAAAATTTAAACTTTTTTTTCTCGAACATTAATTGTCTCGCACAACGAGTCTGTGTGCAAAATGTCAGCTCGATTGGATCACGGGAAGTGGGTTAAAAAACGACCGAAAGATTTGCACGGTCCTAAGCAAGCAATCGAACTTAATATAAAGGATTAAAAAATATATTCGCCTGTGGAGGACGCGGGGATCGATCCCGCGACCTTTGGCATGGGAAGCGAGGGCGCTACCAACTGCGCTACTCCGCCACGGCCTGTGGAGGGGTTACGCTCTGGGCTCTTACACTCTGGTATCGAGGAAGTCGTGGGTTCGATCCCAGCCCTGACGCCTGTATATTTAGAGTGAGCATGTTCTCCCCGTGGTTGCGTGGATTTTTCTTGTGGCCAGGTCGCTTCTGAAAAGAGCTATATAGCTCAATGGGCCGTACCTGGTAAAATTATTCTTTTTTAAAATAGTTACTCTAGTAAATAACATAAGGGCATTTTGTATGCCCACTGTGAAGCAGACACCATGTTACTGTATTGTGGTTATTACACCAGAATAAATAATGAGGGCCGCTGCTAGATTAAAACTGACAAACGTGCTACCTTTAGGCCATGTCACTGACACAAATTGAAATAAATTATGTCGACATGAGATTGATAACCTTTTTGTTTATACTTGTTTGTTTTATGTAAACTTTAAACTCAAGGACCATGCCACCCTCCACAAGCAGCACGGTTAGGTAGAAAAAGGAAAATAGGAGCTGATGAAGATGTCTTTGAATATCGAAAAACCTATAAGCATGAATCCTTGCAGTCACGAAAGCTTCAAATCTAGAATTAAGTTTTTTTTACCGACAAATAAACTTATTTTAAGTTTTAGTAAAAAAGAAAATAAAAAATTCAATTGCATAAGCTGACTGGATCAAAATCAAATGTTCAGCTCTTTGTCCTCTCGAATGTAGTTATGAGGCCAAGTCACCTCCTGGGTACGCATCTGCATGTGAAATGATGCGTTTGCATGTATAATGGTGAAGTTGCGTGTGAAGTCACGTAGTTGCATGTGTCATGGTGTATTTGCATGTGTCCAGTAATGATCCATTGAATGCACAAGCGAAGGTGCTATGGAGATGTTAGTACAGAAATCAATTGAATCTAAATTTAGCTGAACTTTGGGTATTTCCCTCCTCGTATTGCATGGGTTTTCTCTGTACACTGGTTTCTTACCATTTTTCAAACATCCCAAAGCAGTACCCTTCTGAAAGAGGATCTTTGATAAAAGGGAAATATTATTTTAATGAAAAGGCCACGGTTAGAAGTTTAAGAAGTTAGTTGGTTTAGACAGTAATATTATTATTGTGACTGTATTCAATGTAAATCAGGGGTCTCAAACTCGCGGCCCGCGAGCCAATTGCGGCCCTCGGGACGATATTTTGTGGCCCCCACCTTAATATGAAAGTTTAATGTTAGTGCGGCCCGCGACTTTTATATTGTAGCAACCCCGCTGTTAGCTGCTGTGTGGGACAATGTTATGATGTTCTGGTTTCCTACTGTGTGCCTGTCCAGTGAATGCGGCATGCATGTGAGTGACATGGGGGGCGGGGTCGTGGGTGTGTGTGTGTTTGTGTACGTGTGAGAGTGAGTGAGAGAGAGAGCCGGGAGAGAAAAGAGTGGCTTTGGATGCGCGGAGAGCAGGAGGGTGAAATTCATAGTTTTCCGCCCTCTTTCGCACAGGTCATGATGTATCCAGTGCTTTATTTGTAAATCACAAGGTGCCGGAACACTAAGTACATATGACAGCGCACAGGTCCCGGAACGCACATAAAACGACGCTTAAAACAGCACACACATGCCACTTACAATGCAGTGGGACTTATTTAGGCTATACTGCAGTGACGGTATCAGTCTTTGTGTCAGTGATTAATAAAGTGGCATCTTGAGCAAAGGCGACTTCTGTGTCCAGCGGAGAAAACGAACGGAACACACACACACACCATTTGTTAAATTGAAGGCAAATTCAAGGGACACCACGGCTCCTTTACGCACACGCTGCGCTGTGAGGTGTTGGGAGCTTCTTTACGCAGAGGGATTATTCTAAACCGCAGCAGTTTATAACACGTCATTGAGCTAATATCTACATTTTACAGTCTGGGCTGTTTTACATTATTATTTACACCTGATATGTGTGGATGAATTTTAATGATTTAAATTCCCTCATCCTCTGGTGGTGACATTTACGCACCGAGCCACAGACTGTACATGACGATGTGCATAATTATTTTGGTTCATCTTAGAAGTCTGCATTTGTTATTATTTTATGAAATTGTGATGCTGTTAAGAAAGCTTTATATATAACTTATTAGATTATCTTGTTATTGCGTGGCCACAAATTAGTAATTCATCCACCGATGTCAACAGGGGCTCCGTAATTTTCTAGTGATTACATTATATTGTTATATTTTATTTTAATCATTTCTTAAAAAACTTTTTTTAATATTCATATTTTTTTCGATACGAGAGGTACCGGATCTGCTCAAATAAGTCCCGGAACGCAGGCAAGCCAACACGCCGGCACAAAGTAAGCACAAAAATGTATAGAAAAATGTGATGATGTGACTGAAGGCAGTGAAAGCCCCGACAGTGGCCAGCAGCATTTGAACCCCGTGGTCACACAATGACGCTGCCTCATAGAGTCCTCTGCTCTCCCTCTTTCGGCTCTCCACTGTGCGCGCATCGGAGCGCGTCAAAGCGCAGATCCACAGCTCACACGGCTCAGATCCCCGTGCTTAGAACAGAGAAGCGTGTATAGTAGCAGCCGCTACAGCTATGTCTGCCTGTGACTGGGGTGTGGGGACGAAATCTGATGGGAACGCATTACCCCCCCGCCCCCATAATCTACGCACCTGTTGTTACCGTAAAAAGCGGAAATGACGTGCATTTGCGGAAATTACGTCTCCGTGCGTCGCTGGTTGGCTAAACACTTGACTGAAACTTTATTGCGTGAGCGACAGCAAGTGGAATGAATATAGATCTTGTCACACAGCCCCAATCATGTCTTTTTCAAAGCCTGCAGTGAAGAGAAAGGTTGGTGACGAGCACAGACAATTTCAGGAAAAGTGGGAGATGCAATATTTATTTGTTGAGCACATGAGCAACCCGACGTGTCTTATTTGTACAGAAAAAGTTGCGGTGCACAAGGAATACAACCTCAAACGTCATTACTCAACTAGACATGCTGAGGAGTATGCAAAATACCAGGGAGATGAGAGAGCCAACTGGGTTGCCAATCTTAAAACATGTCTACTGAGGCAACAAAATGTATTCAAGAAAGCAACCAAAGAGAATAATGCAGCAGTCGAAGTAAGCTACGTGGTTAGTGAGATGATTGCTAAGGCAGGAAAGCCATTCACAGAAGGCGAGTTTATCAAAAAGTGCATCTTACAGGCTGCAAGTATAGTCTGTCCAGAAAAGAAAGGTCAGTTTAGCAACATCAGCCTTTCTGCTAACACGTGGCAGAGCGCATTTCAGACCTGTCAAGTGACATTTATGATCAACTGCGTGAGAAAGCCAAATTTTGCAATGCATACTCAGTCGCTCTTGACGAGAGTTCAGACATCACTGACACTGCCCAGCTCACAATATATGTCCGTGGTGTTGATGACAATTTTGAAGTGATGGAGGAGTTGCTCACAGTAATTCCAATGCATGGCCACACCACCGCTCGGGAGATATTTTGCCAGCTGTGTGATGCCATTGTGAATGCCGGTTTGCCATGGAAGAAGTTTGTTGGAATAACAACCGACGGAGCGCCATCAATGACAGGGAGGAAAAATGGACTGGTGGCACTTGTTCAAAGAAAACTAGAAGAGGAGGGTGTGGAGGAGGCCATGGCTCTGCACTGCATCATCCATCAGCAGGCCCTTTGCAGCAAATGCCTAAAGTTTGACAATGTGATGTCTGTTGTTGTGAAATGCATCAACCAAATAAGATCCAGGGGCTTAAAGCACAGGATGTTCCGTACTTTTTTTTAGAGGAAATGGAGTCAGAATATGAGGATGTGCTCTACTTCACCGAGGTACGTTGGCTCAGCAGGGGAAACGTCTTGAAGAGATTTTTTGAGTTGAGAGCAGAAGTGAAAGCCTTCATGGAGAAGGATGGGGTGGCTGTTCCTGTGCTAAGTGATCCCAAATGGTTCATGGACTTCGCTTTTCTTGTTGACATCACGCATGAGCTGAATGTACTGAACAAGAAGTTACAAGGCCAGGGGCAGCTCGTCAGTGCTGCCTATGACAACGTGAGAGCATTCTCCACAAAACTTGTGTTATGGAAAGCCCAGCTCTCTCAGACAAACCTTTGCCATTTCCCAGCATGCAATGCATGCTGGGAAATGGCAATGTGCACT